CCCCCCCCCCCCCCCCCCAGAGCCACAAAGGACATTTAACAAACGACAGTGAAATTTCTTAATCAAAAAGGCAAAATAAATCTACACTGCTGTACATATACACATTACTTACATTACAAAATCCCAGAGAAGTATTTGCTGTGCCAGCTACGCTCTGCTCATTCCCTTTTTTCTGCCTCAGAAACGGCTTCTTTTGGGTCAAAAATCAATGAAATTAATCTGTGAGCCACCAGACGCCAGCCACAGACACCACACGGCGAGGTGCGGATGCCAACGGTGCCAAACCCCATGGAATTAGCCCGGCTGTGGATCGGTGCTGCTCTGGATTTTAAGGATTAACAAAACCAGAATTCCTTGGGGAAGCAGCGAGCAGCCGGCCCGGTTTGGGAATAAGGTACAAAAGTGACCCCGGTTGGGGTGGGGAGAGGAAGGAGGAGAAGCTCTGGCAGGACAAGTGGAACACAAAAGCTCACGAGGCCCCAAACTGGCCCCAAGTCCTGAAGGCTGCGAGGGCTCGGCTCCGGGAGCTGGCATCGTTCCTGGAGAGCTCTCACCTCTGGGAACAAATGTCCACTGAGCTCACAGAGCTTTCACCTCTGCATAAAGTTCTTTTCCAAGGCAGCGGGAGTCCTCTGCAGGGAGTGGATGTTGCGCTTGACCCGATCCTCCAGGCTGGAGGTGGAGGCACTCTCCAGCTTCAAACGGCTGCAGGAAGGGGAGCAGAGAGAGAAATCACAAGTCTGGGACTGACAGAGAGCAGGTTTGGATTAGGGACTGGATATTGGGATGGAATTCCTTCCTGGGAGGCTGGGGAAGGGCTGGGATGGAATTCCCAGAGCAGCTGTGGCTGCCCCTGGATCCCTGAAGTGTCCCCAAGCCAGGCTGGACAGTGGGAGGTGGCCGTGCTGTGGCACTGGATGGGATTTAAGGTCCCTTCCCACCCAAACCATTCCATGGTTCTGTGATTTTTGTGCTCCCAGGGATTAAATTATAAATTCCCACCTGTGCTCAGAGGTTTTATTGTCAATCGCAGGCTCACAGGGACTGCTGCAAGCTCCAAAAACCAGAGAATTTCTAAACATCTGCATAAAAACCACTCCCAGAGTGATAAAACATCACCAGTGCCCAGCCTGGGTCTGACTCCCAGTTAGCAAGAAGCGTTTTTTGGGTTGAGGGGAGAATTTGGGACCAGCAGATGTCCCCAGCTCTGTAAGCCACAGGGGAGATGTGCAATTCCATCATCTGAAGCATCCCAGACCCCGAGGCCAGGCCTCAGAATCCTGGATGAGGAGGTGGTAAAAGACTCACTGGAAGAATTTCCCATCCCTGGCGTCGAGTTTCTCCAGCTCCCGCTCCAGCTCCTCCTCCTTGCGGTGCTTCCTGAGGTTGTTGGCTCTCTCCTCCTCCCTCCACTTGGCGTTTTCCATCATTTCCTGCCGTTTCCGCTCCAGTTCCTCAGGAGAGATCTTTCTGTTTGGGTGGAAAGCACCTCTTTAGATTTTTCTGTGAAGGTTTGGAGAGGTTTTTCTGTGAAGCAGCAGCACCCCAGGCCCCAAACCTTCCACTCTTTGGGATCCTGGAATTGCTCAGGTTGGAAAAGGCTCGGATCAACCAAAGATGGTTCACACAATCCCCCAGATGAGGGGGGGTTTTATCTTTGGCAGCCAAGCAGCAAAGCTTGGGAGGGCGTTTTGAAATGAAATTTAAATTAAAAATTAAGTTTTTAAAAATATTTAAAATCTTTTTAAGCATTCCAGAGGAATTTCCAGAGGAAAATCTGGCTCCCAGGGGTTTGTCCCCCCAGGACAGGGCCCCACTGACCTGGTGTAGCCTGAGGGCTGCTGGCGCCTGAAGCTCTTTTTGGGGGAAGGACTCCTGGCTCTGCCCTTCTCCTCCCGGCTGCTGTGCCTGCAACACCAAAATCCATCTGGTGAGCACCAAAATC